TTAAAGATGTGTTTGAGAAAACATATGATTGGAAAAGAAAGTTAGATAGCACAAATGGACAGTATGAGTCCTGCACTGATATCAATGACAGGTAATAAGACCCAGAGGAAGACCTTCAGCACATAGGGCAGATCATCTGTAACAGAGCTATGGGAGAACACGACCCAGAATTACATAGGATGAGAAAGCATGAATGTGTTGCACTATACATATAAGGAAGAAATAGCCGTGTTCATGAGACTGTACAACTACTGAAGAATTATAATTTTAACATTTATATAATGCTTTCAAGTTACAAAGTGCTCTATCACACATCATCCCAATTGATCTTATCGACCTTGTGGAGATGATAGGGCGTGTTATTTTTATAATCGCTACTTTACAGGAGAAGTTATTACTGAAATACCAAAAAAATTAACTTTTGCTACTTCTTGCATTTTCCTTTCCACACATGGATCCCAAGCACTGTATTATGTCAACTACTATGGTGACTGGCTTTTAGGGTTAACTTTGTATTTTATTTTGTTGTTTTGCTATTTTAGTTTTCTATTTTTAAAATCTGTTGAAGTTGATGATGGGATAAAAGCATAAGTTTTTGGAAGAAGCAAAAACTGTTATTTACACTATCTCTTTGGGAAAAACTTCTTAGATGAAATGTGATGTGAGAGGGTTTCTTATATATACCTATGGAAGGGGCAGCTAGCTGGTGCAGTGGATAGAGCACTGGCCCTTAAGTCAGGAGGACCTGAGTTCAAAATCCAACCTCAGACCAAACAGAGTTAAGTGACTTGCCCAGGGTCACACAGCTAGGAAGCTTTTCAGGCCAGATTTGCACTCAGGAAGATGAGTCTTCCTGACTCCAGGTCCTGTACTATATCCACTGTGCCACCTAGCACATAAAAATCACAGTTAAGTGCCTGACAATAAGTAAATATTAAGTGACACGTTCATAAAGAGAAATGTGCTTTCCAATTCATGTTGCACACAAATCCAACTAATAAAATAAGAATAGTAATCCCTAATGTTAACATAAGGTAACGGCTGTCAAAATTATTCATCCCAGAACCACCCCTGTCAATGACTGTACCAAATACACTAACACAAAAAATTTAAAAAATAAAAATAAATCCCGCCCCATTAACTGCTTGAGGCACTACAGTTTCAGTCTCCTTGTGATGTCACAAATAACTCGTAAAGGCTAGCAAATCAGGAATGCAGACTTAAATAGGACAGCAGCCCAAATGACAGCAGAGGATTATTTCCAGAGCCAAGAGAAATTTCTCCATAGGATTAAGGAGGGTGGGGCTCAAAAAGGAATACTGTTGGTTGGGGGAATCAATATTTTTTCCTCAAAATTTATTTCTGGAATATATCCACAAAGGAAATAATGCAGGTAAATGTATACACATAAAAGTTCAGTCATTTTGTGCAGGTGTCAAGGATGTAGAATAAATGGGTTCAATGAATATAAGATTAGGAAAGGCTAATCAAAAAAACTTCAAACACATTCAATCTTGAGTAGAATTTTGACAGCAGAAAGAAGTGTTATTTCAGATAAGGTAAAAGGGATGGTATTATGATAACTCAACTTCGAGAACAGAGCCCATGGGAAATAGATACACAGAAACAGAAAACAGAGCCCAGCTGATGAACAGAGGGCTTTCAAATCAAACTTGTGAACTATGGGTTCATGAAGCATTTTTTTTTTTGCCTTCTGATTCCTATCTTAACAATTTTAAGGTAAGAATTCCCTTTACCATCCATCCCTAGAAACATGAAAACCTTGTGAGTAGTACCAAAGTAGCTTACCTGCTGTAGCATTTCAAGAAAAGACAGAGCAAGCACATGGCTTTTCACTTCACTAAAAGACTAGAAAGCTATAAAGATCAGGCAGGTTTTTTCTACTGCAGTCACACGCTGGTACTGATAGAACTTTCACTACATGAACTTTCAAAATGACAAAGTTAAATCTTTCTTCAAATGCAAAAGCATTTATTTTTGAAAACAGATTTTTTAAAATGTAAAGGTTTTAAAACTAATTTTACAAGGCTTATTTTTAGTAACTTTAAAGTCAATAAAAGCCTTCATTATAACCACCCCCCAAAAAAACTTAAAAGGTCAATTTACAAATAAAATATACTAGGTCGGACAAAAAAGTTGCACCTTGATTCAAATAAACCTGGTGTCCAAATATCAAGATTTATGCTCCATAAATGTTAGTATCTAAAGACCAGTGAACAGCATTTGCTCTGCATGAATGGACAAAAACACAACTAGTCTTTCTTACCTGTTAACATGAATAGAACACAAATAACTACTGAATGAAGGCAATTAAGAAGAGGTTCTTCATAGAAGTACCGTACACAATGTAAAAAGAAAAGACTTAGGATGGACACAAGACCTATCTTCAAGTGTCTGAAGGGCTATAATTAATGTGGAAGAAGGGTCAGACTTGTTTTGCTTAGCCCAGAAGCCAGAACTAAGATCAACAGGTGTAGTTAGATAAAGGTAAAATTTAGGCTCGATATTAGAAAAAACTCCCTAATAGAGCTATCCAAAAGAGGAATGGGCTGTTTTAGGTGGTAGTTTGTTTTTCCTCACTGAAGGCCTCCAAAGACCAGATGATTACTTGAAGGGTACATAGTAGAGGGGATTCTTGGTCAGGGAGGTATGGGATTTAACTAAATGGCCTCAGAGGTCCCTTCTACTTCAGAGTTTCTAGGATTCTGTGATGCAAAAATACGAGTTTAGGAAAAACAAAAGTAAAAGCCCATCAACAGATATAAGTAGCATTCCAAGACATTCTAAACCCCATTCTTCAATGACTAAGCTTAAATTAGGAAGTATTAATTTTACTTTGAAAGATTTAGTGTTCACCTACACAAGCAAAAAGATGTGAACACCACTTTAAGATCTGAATTATCACTTAAAAACTGCCACCTACACAGCAGAAATCTGTTGCCATGTGTGGTGGATAGATCACTAACAAGTTAGAATCCTGCTATTAGCATAGTGAATGGGACTCTGTACTGGAAGTCAGAAGAGCTAGATTCTAGTCCCAGCTCTGTCAAACATTACCTTTGTTACTACTTTCTGTGTGGCCCTGACTATGCGGCTCCACTTCTCCAGGCTTCTGTCTCCTCAAGTCGTAAAATGAGGTTGATTAGACTACATATAAAATTCTGTAAATAAGTGATTAATGTTGAGAGATATTTTTATAAGCTATTGTTACATCAACAGAGATATACTAGAATACATAGGAGAAATTATTTCATCTACCAGTATCAATCAAATCTATGATATAGTGAGGCAGATTTTAATGGGGGTTTTAGTGAGAATGCATCCCTCAACTTTAGGTGATTTGTTTGTTTTTTGAAACAGCAAAAAGAAAATAAAAGTTTGCATCGTAAGAAAGATCATCCTATTAGATATAATATAATGCATTTTGCTGTTAAAGCTTGATTGGTCTGCAGTACCTCTTTAGAATTTAGGAAAGGGCATAAAAAGCAGACATAACATTCTACACATGTACTTTATGAGGGAAAAAGGTGGTTATAAAAAGAGGAACATTTATGAAGAAGAAAAAAGGCAGTACAGGAGGGCAAATGGGATAATCAATTTTAAAAATCCACTCTTTGGAGAAAAGTTTGTCCATATTCTTAAGTAACCAGTCTAAATAAGAACCATATTTATTATCCAATCTGTGGATTCCTTAAAATTATCATAGCATAACTAGTTTGAAGTTGGAAGGCACACCCTACTCAAAATACATTTTTTAGAAACACATTTTACAGATTCTGCAACAATAAAAAGTAGTTCAGCAAATTAAACTAGTGATCCAGAAGTAAAATGTTCTTAGCCTATAAGCAAACCACCACACCCCTTTAAAAAACAGTTCCCAAGTCTACTGTATTTCATGAACTCTAAGTGCATTTTCAGTCTGAACTGAACTTCAGTTCTTCATAGTATGCCTAGTATTAACATTCCTGACTTGTAGAAGTACATTTTGAAATTATACTCCGGTTGTATTGTCACAGAAAAGAAAGCCTTTGCATCTTAATTCATCTCATGGGCTGAGTCATATTGCTTGGGTCTTAACTTCACCAATTATCCTAAGAGTTCGGACATTTATGTGTCTTCCCTATGTAAACTTAATCTAGGATCAGAAGTTTTAGTAAGAGCATCTCAACAAGAAGCCCATTAGCATATTTAAGAACTTTTCGCTTCCCTGAAATCTACGGGAAGATTTGTTTTTTTGATGTTGGGACCTATAAGTTGCTCCTACAATAATTACTCATTGACTGGCTGCAAACCTACGGGAAGGAGAGCATTTGGAAGGAGGCTTGTCAAAACTCAAAGGTGCAAAAGTATGCAACTTAATGCGGCGGGTTTCAACTAAACTCCCCACCCTCCCCATCCCCGTCTCTCCTCATTAGAGCCTCCACGCTTCCCTGATCCCTTCAGTCTGCTAGGCTCAAATCCTGCAAGAAGCTCTCCCTAGTGCTTAATCTTAGTGTCTTCCCCCAGAGAACAATCCCAATTTATCCTGTAAAGACCTTGTTTGCACCTAGGTTTTGGGGGGCTTTTTTTGCACCGTGGTTTTCCTCCACGAGACTGTGAGCTCCTTGAGAGCAGGGATTGTCTTTTGCCTTTCTCCGTATCCCCAGCACATAGCTCAGTGCCAGGCACAATGCTTTAGTTGACTGACTTCTCAAACCACATACGAACTCCTCCTCCCCCCCAGTTCAACCTCAACCATACAGCCCGATACGAATCGGACCCCAAGCAAACCCTGTCCTTCCAGGAAGACAGAAACAGATGGGAGGGGAAGGGACGAGAAGGTACTGGACCAGATGGGAAGCGGAGGCAAGAGAAAAGGGAATGAAGAAGAAGGGAACGGAAAGGACGGGCAAGGAAAAGAGCAGAAAAGAAAGGAATAGGGAAAAAAGAGAAAGGGAGGGAAGAGCAAAGAAGGGAGGGAGTGGGAAGGGCACGCTTACCTGCCAGCGGCCGTAGGTGAGGAGGACCAGGGAGATGGGGATGGCTGTGCCAGACATGGCATGGGTGGAGGGCATGCTGTATTCCGAGTTATAGAAGACCTCTAACTTGACCACGGGCGGCGAAGCGGGCCGGGGCCATCGGATGACGTCTTTGGCACACTGGCCCAGGTACATGACCAGGACCCACATGATCACGAGCCTCCGGCCCACCAGGGCATCCAGGTTCCAGATCCAGAAGGGGAAGAAGGTGATGTAGAAGAGCTCGTTGCCCAGCTCGGTGCCAAAGGAGAACAAGTAGAAGAGGAGCCAGTTCCGCACTCCGTACACTTCCCCTTCCTCCCCGGTGAGGGAGTTGCGCCGCAGACCCTGCACTCTGCTGTGGACGGTCGCCTCGCTCCCGCGCTCCCCCGCCGTGGATGTGGCCGTCGCCGGCTCCCCGCCGGCCTCCGGCAGCCCATTCCTCACGCCGTTCCTGGCGCCGCAGCCTCGCCGCTTGCCCCCGCCGCCGTGCGGTTTGCGGCCGCCCCCCTCCTCCCGGGCCGTCCCCGGCTCCCCCCGCGGCGCAGCGTCCGCCCCGGCCGGCCGCGGCTCTTCCACCCCGCACAGCCGCTGGAAGCTGGCCACTTTCTGCGGGTCCCGCAGGCAGACCAGCAGCGCGGCCAGGCGCTGTCTCAGCGACATGATAGCGGGATCCCCCGGCGCTCTCGGCGCTGCCGGACCGCCCTGCCCGGGGGTGGGGTGGGGGCTCTGTCCCGGCGCCGCGCAGGCGGCGGCGGCGGCGGCGGCTGAAGCGCGAGCGCGAGCGGCCGCAGTGCCTCCCCCCGCCGGCTCGGTGGTTCCGCCGGGTGACGACAGCGCCCCAGGCCTCACCGGCGGCCGCCCGCGCGCCCGCCCTCTCCTCTTCCTCTCCCCCTCCGCTCCCTCCTCCCCCGCCCTCTCCGCGCCGACCTGGCCGCCGCCGGCGCTGCTCGGACAGCACGCGCTCGCGCGCCTCCCGCCCGTTCTCTCCCCCACAGCAAGGGCGGGGGCGCGGGCCGGGGTGGGGGAGGAGTGCGTTTCTGCGCCGCGATTGGGGGAAGGGATTGCTGCTCCGCGTGGGAGGGGCGGAGGGAGCGGGTTGCTCGGTCGCTGCCTAGTCTTGGTTCTTGGTTTTTGCTTTACTTCCAAGCCTCGAGAGGCCACGCGGGGCGGGCGCGATACAATTGGCCGTACTGTACCGGGGCGATTTGCTTCGACAAATAACTGTATCGCTTCTCTTGTCCTCGCCTCCCTCCTGGCCCTTGTCCCCAAGCTCACAGGGTTCATTGGTTTCATTTTGTAGGAGGCTGGAGAAGAGGAGTCACAGCAACCTCGGCGCCGGTTTGGGGGTGCCGCTGGAAGAGGGAACAGGCCCTACGCTGACCTCACTGCAAACATCGAGGTGCCTTTGCACCTCTTACTGATGTAGAGGCAAAGGCTAAGCAGGACTGAGGAGAGTAACTAGCACGCACCCGCCGCCTGCTATGACGTGGGTGACTTGCAGTGGATGTCTCTAAAGTGCTAACTTGTAACCGCGAAGATGAAAGCAACATCGGAACTCTGGAATTTACTGCACTAGAAGGCTCTTGTGTGGAACGCTTCACTTAGAAGACAGCTTCTGGGGAAAATAAATAAATAAATGAATGAATGAATGAATGAATGAATGAATGAATGAATGAATGAATGAATGAATGAATGAATGAATGAATAAAAGAGCTTCTGAATGGGGGTTGGGGGAGGGAACGACCCCCGGTTTTCAAAAAGTTCATTTCAAGAAAAGGAGCTTGTGGAGGTATAAATACCTTTGACCAGATGAGGTTTTGGCTCCACAAGCTTAAGGCATGTTTGTTTCATGGAACTGGCCAGTTGGCCCAGACTGGAATGTATGATAGGTACAGTTTCCCATTCAAAAATTCGTTTAGCTGAAGGCACTGCAGTGATGACAATAGCCTACATATGGCACAAAGTGCTTTAGCGCTTTTGATCTCATTTGATCTGACAGCCCTGTGAAGTTAAAGATGAATATTAACCCAGGTTTACAGATGAGGAAACTGAGACTGAGAGGTCGAGTTGCTTGTCGTGGTCAAACAGCCAGCAAGTATCTGAGGCAGGATTTGAACTCAAATCTCCCTGACCCTATCCACTGAGCCTCCTAGCTGCAATGCAGATATGCAGAACGTGACTGAAAACTTTGAAGAAATTTTTGGATTTGGATTTGCTAAATCTCTTTCAGAGACAATATGATAATTTTTACTTGAAAATCCCTGTCTTCTAAAATCCCAAAATATTAGTTCTTTTGCTTTAGTTGAGTAGTAAGAAAAACATTTACCTGTAAAGGAGAACCAATCTTTAGTTTGAGCTCTGCTGTTAACTGGCTATGTTATCCTGGGCAAGTCACTGAGCACTTCTGGGCCTCAGTTCCATCCTTTGTAAAATATGGAGTACAGATAATATTTTAAGTTACAATTAGGGAGAGACAGTCTGAATCCATTTCATCACTGTGAGGGAACTTGAGTGAACACCCCTAAGAGGCAGAGAAAACTATTTAGTTGCTCAAGAAGTGTCTTTTTTTTTTTTTTTGGCTAGGCAATGGGGTTAAGTGACTTGCCCAAGGTCACACAGGTAATAAGTATCAAACTGTCTGAGGTCAAATTTGAACTCAGGTCCTCCTGACTCCAGGGCCAGTGCTCCATCCACTGCACCACCTAGCTACCAGGTAGCCTGTCTGTCAAAAATTAAAAGGTTGGAGTTGATGGTCTTTGAGGTTTCTTCCATAGTTCATTTGGATATCGTCCCTTCTTTCCTCCTTTCCAAAAATACAAAAATCTGATACTAACTCACCCTGCAAATACTGGAATAGTCTGATTCCAATGAGAAAATACTGTCTTTGTAATTCAGTGGAATTAGCAAAATGTAGGATAAAGATATGTAAAGATGTAAAAGAAGCTGTAAACAAAGATAGGTGGAAAAGCTGTATGAAGTTGTAAATGAGGTAGTAAGAGAATGAGATCACTGGATATGAGTGGGAATGGTTATAACTGCCAGCTAGGTGCACCGTGAATAGAGTGGTAGGCCTGGAGTCAGGAGGATTCATTTTCTGGAGTTCAAATCTGGCCTCAGACATTTAAGTTGCTTAACTCTGCCTCAGTTTTCCTCTTTTTTAAAATGAGCTGGAAAGGGAAATGGTAAACCCACTCCAGTGTCTTTGTCAAGAAAACCCCAAATAGGGCCACGAAGAGTTGGACGTGATTGAACATGTGAAACAAGAAGTTATGCCTGGCTTCATGAAGCAGATTAACTTGTGGACTGATATTTGAAGAAGAAAAGGAAGGAAATTATTTTGGTTGTGAGGAAAGGAAGGGCCCTTTAGACAAAGCCTTTGTTTTCAAATTTTGCCCAAGGAATTCTGAATCACATGCACTTTTTAAGACCAAAGATGGTAGAGAAATAGGGAAGGACTTAATTTATAGTGGACTGACCTATTCTGTCTCTTAGGGCTAAATTCAAGTTGTTTTTATGCCAGCAAATTTTTTTCCAGAATGTAATGTTCTCTTTGAAGTTAATGGGGACAGAAAATGAGAGAGGAATGAGTATCTGGACCTATGAGTTTATTGAAGAGGAAAAATTACAAGCTCTGTACTTTGGATTTGCTTGACAAAACTTGAAGTGCCTGATATCGTACTAAGAACAAGCGCTATTACTTTTACTTTTTTCATATTGACCTGTTCATAACAAATTTATATTAAAATTTAATTGAAATATATTATTGGATTCAAATACATATAGTTCTGTGATAGGCATTTTTTTTTTGCAAGGATGAATTCATTTCTTATTATTTTTTAAAGCAATTTGTTTCCAAGTAATCTATGCTTGATTTGGAGAGATCCTTGGTGGAGAGATTTTAAGACTAAATGGATTTAAGTGTATTAGTAAGAAGGCCTGTGTCCTACCCACAGGTCTGCAACTAGCTCGTTAAATAACCTTTCACTATTTGAAGTAAAAGCTGCAGTATAAAAATGGAATATTGGAAGGATGACTAGGATATTGTATCATAGAACTTTGATTCCCTTGGAGGGAAATCTAAAGGCCAAAAAAAGTATTATTTTGTTGTTTTGAGTTCTCTATGGATACTATTTGAAAGCAACAGGCAAGTGTGAAAAAAACAACACTTTTAGCCTTGAACAATTTAATTGTCTTCTTAGGAAAGCAACTTAAAAAACTAAAACGTAAATTTATCTTACTTGACTTCTGAAGATCACTGTCTGTACTACTACTATACAAGCATTTTTTGCAAAATGAACTCAAGGAATACTTTAGAAATATACCTTTAAAGAACCATTAATGTCAAATTCAAAAAGACATTATTCAATAGGAAAATATAAATATGTAATTTAAACAGGGTTTGAAGTTTAGTATTCATCTGTTACTTGCTGCCCAACAGAGAAATTTATCCTGTGATGGTTAAACTATAAACTTTATTTTGTCATTGTGTCATTTTCAGTCATGTCCAATTTAAAAAAAAAATTTTTTTTTTTTAGGCAATTGGGGTTAAGCGACTTGCCTAGAGTCACACAGCTAGTATCAAGTGTTTGTTCTGAGGCCAGATTTGAACTCAGGTCCTCCTGACTTCAGGGCCAGTGCTCTATCCACTGTATGGCCTAGCTGCCCTGTGTCCAATTTTTTGTGACCTCATTTGGGGTTTTCTTGGCAAAGATACTGGAGTGGTTTACCATTTCCTTCTCCAGCTCATTTTACTGCTGAGGAAAATGAGGCAACAGGGTTAAATAACTTGCCCAGGGTCACAGAGCTAGAAAGTACCAGAGGTCACATTTGAATTCAGGGCTTTCTGACTCCATTGCCAGCACTCTATCGGCTGCACCCTTTAGCTGTCCATGAACTTTCTACTCTGAAAAAAAATCCACTCCTATTCCCAGGATTCAAAAAAAAGACAGTTATCAATATTGTGAGGATTAAAAGTATCCATGAAGAGAAATAAAAAGTGACAAAAGCTTGCATTTTCATGGCACTTTATGATGAAAAAGCATTCTATATACCTTATCATTTATTGTTGGAAGACCTTACCTATATCTACAAATCTAGTTAGTATCAGTTAACATTTTGATATCAGTCCTTTGATTATGTTTTTACATTATTTTTCAAGATTTAGGATCACCTCTGAATTTTCTAATGACAGATTATTTTCAAATTGTCTTAATACAAAATATAGATAAAATTGGGAGAATTTTGCATATAAATTTAGAATTAATGGGAATGGACTAAATAAATGTTAAGACTGTCATGCACTTAGCTCAAAATTTTATAATTCTCATAAAATTTCTCTCTTTTAAGTATACTGCTTTCTTATTTAAGCTCCATCCTTATAACAGCCTTCTTCCAGAGACAGATTCTATAAAGAAAATGGTCAAAACTATGTATAGACTCATAAGCTGTCCCCCTGACTCTCACTTCCATCCCATACAGACAGAAACAACCAAGGAGCTGCTTCATTGCCTAACACACCATTTAAATTTTCCTTTATTCCTGTTCCTTTCACACCTTCCTGTTTCTCTTTGGAGCTCCTTTCCCCTTCATTCTTTTCATCTTTATCACTATCTACCCCAGCCCCACTAAACTTCTTTTAAAACTCTGGCCATACTATTCTTCATAAAGAAAGGAAATGAACAAGCTCATTTTGTTTTCTATTACCTTTCGTATATTATTTTACAGATTTAAAGACACATATCCTTGTCACAAGCCTTCACATAAAAGTGTCCTAAAAGTCTTAGTGCTTTTTTTGGTGCTTAAAACTTCACTCAGACTTTTGGAACATTCTGAATTACTAGAGA